AGATAGAGATAATCATGTCAACCTTATAATATTCCTAACGTATATTTTCTATGGTTCCTGTTAGGATTGCAGTAGAATATTAACGTCCAGTTATTAAACTTCGTTCAACATAAAAATATTGAATTTTAGAATTAAATTCATTTTGAAGTTGTATAACAGTTACCGTAAAAACTTGTACAACGACTACAACCAAATTTTATCAGAAAGTTTACACTTTTACAATTTTTGGGCTAAATTCTATTGAATGATTCCAATTCGTTACAAAATGTTTTGTTATATTGCCCAAAATGGTAATTTCAATATTGTTACTCCTAAAATCGTTGCGCTCACTTTAAAGTATTCAACATTTTCAGAATTGAAAACTAGTAAACCAATTTCTCGATAAAAGCATTATTCTCTCAAAATTTTCATTATTCAACAAAAAATATCTACAACTTAATTTATGAAAACATTATGGTAATTTTGGTAATGCTGATATTTTGATATTCTAAGTAATGTAAGATCCAAACCCTCTTAGAATATTTTAATATTTCATATTAACCACTGAAAGCTTGATAATTTCGATACGCGGATATTATAGTCTAAAATTTGAGTAATAGGAAACTGCCTTATAACCTTTTTTACCCTTGCAATTTCATCCACAACAAAAACACGTCCTTTAAAAATTATGAATACAAAAATTCACTTAAATTATCAATTACATTTTAATTTTTTCCTATTATTATTTTATTAATTTAAATTAAAATATATAAGACCTAAATATATATATAATTATCATTAACGTATACCAATATTTATCTCAATAGAATTGATAATTAATCTAGAACTACAATAATTAAAACACTGTTTTCTTGTCTGCATATCCTTTCCAGGATGTTAGCGATTACATCTCAAGTTATATTTTTTACAATATTGGCAAATTCTTTTCGACGTCTTGCTATGTGGAGTAATGGGCTTGCTGTTCTTACTCCAATCCAGTTCTTAATATTCCACAGTCATGACATTTTTTACTTTCTTCCGATACCTCTTCAACCTTCAATTTTACCTTCAACAATCAACTGTAGCTCATACAGCTCATACTTCGGATGTCTCATTATATATCCAAGATAGCTTACTTTTCTTCTTTTAAGATTAAAAGAAGGAATTAAAACATTACGTTTTATAAAATCAAGAAAGATTTCGAAGAACAAGAAATCCTTAAAATTATTAATTGAGGTTAACAATTAAAGTTATTGAAACTCAAAGTAATTATTTTCTCACCTCAATTAATTAGTAATTTTCTCACCTCAAAAAGATTAATTTAGGAAATCAACAAGTCTTACTGAACTATAATATTTTCCCTTAAAAATCATTGTAATAAATGTAAAACCATTAACTACCCATCAAAATTATTCCACAAATAACACTTATGTAACATTTTTTTTTTTGTTGTATAAAAAGTAATTTTATAGCTTATATGTTAATCTGTTAATTATTTACAAGTGTAATAAACTTCAACATATGCCCCATATATGCCATTTGTTATACATACTATTCCATACATGGGTATGTAAGTAATTCACATATTTACAAATATTTTATCTAGACAATTAATTACATTTAAATTCCTTTTAATCTTTGGTATTATTTACTCACTTTTTTTTTTGCTATATATACATATGTATATATAGTAATTTTCAAATTAACATATTTTACATATACACTTCATACATACATACATATTATATACGTAAACAAATTTCTTGTCAACACTTTCACTTTTCTCTTAAATGTAACTTAAGAAGATAGACAAAGACATATTGTGTACATAAAATCTTAAATACCTACAATATTCTTCAACATTTATAAGTACATATGTGTGTACGTGCTATGCATTACTAAATATTATTATTCCAATTACTTTCATTCAAGAAATATTTTTATTAAACCATATAACACAAAAATATCTTAAATTGCTTCTCTTACAATAAACTCTTAAAATATTTTTATTATTACCAGATTTAAGGAGTTTTACACAATAAATATCTTCTCTATGGCTATACATATACCATATGTATATACACGTATAAAAATAGGATATATACATACTTCGTTTGGGTTGTACATGATAAAGTTGTAAAACTATGAAATATCATAAATTAAAATTGACTATATATTACTATATAATATGTATCTATATAGAGTTTATATAATATTTATGGAAAATTTACAATATACTTAAGATTCTAGACCTACATCAATTTAAAAGTTCAAAAATGTTGAATGATTGTATAAGTGAATGTAGAAAAATCTCTTAAGTTCTATATTATGTAAATATTTTCAAGAACAAAATGAATGAATTGTAAGATAAAAAATACTATGAAAATATTTTTTTTTCTTTGGTTTGTTGTTAAATGAACTCTTTGAGGCTTTGTGGTCATTATTAAGATATTTTTTTTACTAAGAATATAACACTTATACAATAGAATCTATATTGCATAATATTTTACAGAGACTGTAAAACTCTGTAAAATCAAAACTGTAATTCAACAATTAAAGCATTTTTACAATCTAACTGAATTTTTTTTGTTCCTTCCATATCTCGATGGGCGGCCACCTACATCGGAGTTTAATTGTTACACCTAGCCAGAGCTCTGAGAACATCGGTGCACTCCCTAATTAGATTTGATGTTATCACATTGGTCGAAAGCGCCGTGATAACAGCCCTATTGTCTGACAGAATATTATTTCTAATACACTCGCGATGGAACATGGTTCAATTGCATAGGCTTCCGCCTGCAAAGTTGATACGTCACACTCCAGGCCAAACCCTTCGACCAGAATCCGGCTGCGATCCCTAATAAGTGATAATGGTGAATAGTAATAATGGTGAAGTACTCTTCTACAAAGTTGAAAGACCCATTATAGTTAAGAAAATTTTTATCTCTGTTGTTTTTTTTACACAATCCTTCTATAATTTTTTATTATCATTAAATTTTTTTACTATTTACATTGCATACGAAAATGTAAATGTAAATATTTATAAATATGTTATGCATTTTGTAGGAATAAATTGTGTTTTCAAACAATATATATATAAAAAAATTCTTAAGGACGTCAGATTTTTATTTTTTAAAAGTAATCAGACATTCTCACACTCTACACTCGTTACATTTTTAATATTAAAGCAGAAAAAACTGTTTTGTATGAAAAAATAGGGCAGTGTTTCTCAAAGTTTCTAGATGTTAATTGAAAAATTTCATATCCATAACAACACGTGTACTTATAACACACGCACTGGTAAGTATAAGTGTTGGAATACTCACAAATCAGCTTTCCAATAATTTCATTCATATTTAAGCCAAATGTTATAAGTTTTCCATTCTAGAAGTCAATTCATACTTACGAAATAATGATCTGTTTAGTAGCTGAAAATATAATATAATCTGTATAATGAGAATAATTGTGCCTTTATGTGAGCCTTCATTTAATGTAAATTTAAGGCTAGATATGCTTAGAGTTTGTAATGTTCAAATATATAAGTTCTATAAAGTTTCATCTATGCATTTAAAATAGTAAAATCCAATAGCAAAACATGGTGTCAATATTTGGGCAATATTTTGCGGATTTTAAATTAGTTTCTAAAAATATTCAACATCAAAACTCTATATAAAATATAAGCAACACTTAATCTTAAAGTGATACTGAAGTGATAAATCTTTCACCATCAAAATATGGTTACCCTCAAATGAGTTACTCTCAACCTTTTAATATAGGAAAATTTTATGTTCAGATAGAATGATTCGGTTTCTAAAGGCTAAAAAAAAACAAATAATCTTTAAATAAATCAATTGGAATAAGCAAATATATATGTATTTATACATACCACACATAATTCAAGAAGTAAAGGATCAACAAATTGCAGTACCTTTTCTAAAGGATTTTCTTCCGATTCTAAAGGATATTCTATAGATGAAGAATTGAATTTTATCCTTCGTATTTCTATTCTAAAACTTCTTTATTGTTTAAAAGTGTTATACTGTAGAACATGTTGCAATAATAATTTATGCAATAATACTCGTATGTTACAGTTTGTCTTAAGTTTTGTGCAGAGAATGGGGAAAATTTTCTTTCCTCACACAATATGGGTATTATTTAAGGTATTTTTGTTTTGTGTTATAAGTATTGTGTTGTTGTAAACAATAAAGTGTTTGAATTGGCATTGTTATGTAATTTACTTGAACTTTTATTATTATTATTCCCTCACCACACACAAAAAATTATCAAAAAGAAAAACAAAAAAATAAAGTAATGAGTACCTTTTCCTTCTTTTAGTATTTGTACATGCATGTGCGGTAATATGTAAGAACAACGTACATATGGAGTAGTTGCTTGTATGAGGGCACTCGATTTTAAACTTATCTTCTTCTATCCTCTTTATTGTTTAAAAATGAAGAGCCAGAGTCCCCTGTCCTTTATGAAACACTGGAAAGTAGCTTACAAAACTTCTGCGACGATCATGCAGGTTGGTCAGGCAAGTTGGTCATGCATGTTGGTCAAACAAGCTGGTCATGCATGTTGGTCAAGCAAGTTGGTCAGGCAAGTTGGTCAGGCAAGTTGGTCAGGCAAGTTGGTCAGGCAAGTTGGTCAGTTAAGTTGGTCATGCATGTTAATCTTGCAAGCTGGTCATACAAATTGTTCATACAAGTTGCTTATGCAGTTGGTTATGACAATTATTCCTACGCATATTGGTCATACCGATAGGTCACATCATGTTTGTTTGTCAGGTCACACAGATTGTTTATTTATTTTCGTTTACATATGTTTGATACACTTTTTTCACTTGCATATTTTGGAAATAAATTAATCCACTCGTGATCATGAAAGAGACTACTGCATTAGATTCCAAGAAAATTAGACGAATACCTACCGATAAATTTGAGCATGAATTTTAGTGCAGTTAAAGAGTTTTATAATTCTGTAAAGTTACAAAAAAAAAATGCGTTTCATTAATTTTAATTAAATATTCTTTTATTTTTATATAATTCAAAAAATATTTTTTAATTTATAAATCTCGTCCACGAAATTTTTCCGATCTTTATACAATGATGTTCTGATTTATCTGATGCTATGATTATTCGACAAAAAACATTAGTGGCCAACATTTTTATCTCAAAGGAAGGAAAATTTATTAAATTTTCCAAGACTCCTGCAATTATAAAAGAAATCATATTTTGATCAAAGAAGTTTTGATTTTTCAATAATAATAAAAATTTTCAAACAATTCATGCAAAATTTCATATATTTGTTTTAAACCCGAGCATGTATTCGAATCGAAAGCATTCATCACACCAAACATCAAAAATATTATTTAAATGAAAGTTACAAAATAACTTTAAATTTTCCATTTTTAATACACAAAAATTTAAAAATAAATTCAAAATTAAAATTTTATGCATTTATTAATTAAAGTTAAATAAAAATTTTTCAAAAATTGTTCTAATTTTTATCATAAATTTAAAGAATCAAGGCGAGGCATTAAATTAAAATCGAAAAACAAAAAATGAAAAAAACCAAAAGAGAATAAAATCAATAATCAAACAATATTTAAAATCTGATAATTCGTACAGCTTAAAATCGAATTAACAATTTAAATCCACAATAATTCAATTAAATATTTCGATTTAATGTCTGTTACAATATTCATTACATTTACAACACACTGTAATAATTTTATTAATCATTTCATAAAAATGTAAAAATTTTTATTTGATTCATGATGTAAATTTATGGATTCAGAGAAAAAAACATAAAAATACAAAATATGAAGCAAGAGTATGGAAATTTGAAATGGTTTGATCATCACTCGAATGAGTAATTGCATTCATAGACTCAGGCTAATAGAACCACGATTGGGAGTTTGAATATTTATTTTGTCTTCTTGTACGTATTAGTAAATTTAAATGTTCGCGCTTACATTTATTTACAGCAGCAAATCGAAAAAGTTGAGGTACTCTAACTGTCTGTCTAACTGACAAATCAGGCGTGTTTGATTTGAATTTTCGTTTGGAACAGCACAAAATACCAAAAACCCCATTTTTTAACGCGATCTGATATTTGCAACATCTAGTCTTTTAACGATAATCATTTGGATAATATTATTCTCTCACATTTCGGCTAATATGCATTTTAAATCCGCAAGGCTTTTAATTCGAATTAAATAGAAAGAGTGACCCTGACTAAAGCATTCCCTGTAAACAGAATGGCAAAATTTTAAATCAGTTTACTTAGCTGGCCATTTACGGTGTTACCAATTTCTTTAAAGTATAAAATTCAGAAAAAAAATTTTTTGAACTGTAAATGAAATTATTAATTCATAATATACTTTCATAAAATTTTAGAATTTAATTTGTAAAAATATGAGAAAATCGAAAAAAAAAAATTTTTATTTCCTAAATTCAATTTTAATGTTTTAAATCTGATTAATATAATAGAATTACATAATAAATTATTACATATTGTCAAGTGTAAAATATTAAAACATAATATCCTTCCTATTATTTAATAAACCATGTTGTATTTGACTACGTTCCACTTAAAAATGCATGTTAAAAGTACCATGTTAATTGTTTAGTTTTCAAAATTAACGAGAAAATTTAAATTTCTATATAGTCTAACAACCAAATGCGATAACTTATATTTAGCCTAAATTTTTATTCTGTCAGTAAATGTGTGCTCCATTTTGATTTCTGTGTGGAGTGAAATTCTCCATTTCGGGTACTGTGTTTGAGCTCAAAGGAGATATTTGGGTAAAAAAATTTAGTGTTGTCTATAACAATTACGAAGAGCTGCAAAAAATCATTCAATTTGTTATTGAAAATAAAAATAGACCAAATACAGTTTGTCATAATTTGTTGCAACACCATATACAGGATTTATTGTACACCAGCCCTTATGTATAAAATAAAACTGAATAAAAGTGTGAGATAAATAATTACAAAAAATTAGCGTATGTATAAATGTTTGTAAAATATTTAATAAATTCTTTTCATGTTCTTCCTGATAGATATGTTTTGTATGTAGGCTGTAATACTTTGCCAGGATATCAATAAAACTGTTATTAATTATTTATCTTTCCCTTAATTTTTTTATTTTATTTTATTTTGCTGATATACTGTATAAAAATAACACTATATTTGACAGAGTAAAATTATTAATACTCGTACTTGTATATTCAATTTTTAAGTTTGGTAAATTTAAATCAATTAACAATCACACAAAAAAAATGCGAAAAATGCGAAAATATTGTTAAAAAAAGAAAAGAGAAATTTGCTGTAGAGGCACTAGATTAATTTTAAATGGTGCATGAAGAAAAAAATGTTGATGGGTTGTAGTGTAAGCAATTCATTTTCGATTTAAAAATTTGTCTGCCAAAAAAGAGTGAAACGGAGAAAAGAGAATCTATTTTTTTTGGAGTAGGAAATCTTAGATGAATGATAAAATCTGCATACAATACTGCGATGCATTGTAAAATCGGTCTCATACTTCAACTAAATTCAATCTGTAATATTGGTCAAATTTCTTCGGCTTAAACACAAATATTGCATTATTACTCTATTCTCGTTTCGACGCCGTTAACAATCAAAAATTAAGTATTGACAAGATGTTGAAATTTACAACATTCACCACAAAAAGTGCATCACTACACCTTTACAACACCCTCAAATTAATAACAAAAACAAAAAATATATACTTCACTTCACACAATAAACAAAAATGCAGAATAATTTTTTTAAATTGAAAAGGATAACCTGTTGTTATTATGAGATCCAAAACCAAAAAAAAAGAAAGAAAAAAAAAATTTCAATCCCTAATTTGTTCCAAAAGGTGGCAGAGGTACACTGAAAATGCATGACTAAATTATTTTTTATTTAAAGGGATGAGAGCAAATCATTTTGATTTTTTTTTTTTTGCAGCGATTGTGCCTATACAAAAATTATTGTTCGGCTGCTTCTTCTGTTTTTGGTTTTTGCATAAATTTTGGTGCATTGCTTTTAAACAAAAAAAGAAAAAAATACGTTGAAATCCCAAAAGGGTGGCGGTTTATTCGACACAAACTGCAACAACCAACAGATATTTTTATTTACAGTTGCACAAAAAAAAAATGCATTTGTTGCACACATATGCTAAAATGTGAAGTGCAACAGTTTACATTTTTTGTGTTTTTTGCAAAAATTTTTGGAATTTTTTTCTTTTCCTCAATTTTCTTTTTTATATAGTTTTTATAGTAAAATTTTGAAGGGATAACAGTAAAAATAATAAAGAAAGACAAAAAAATTTTTTTTTTTTTGGTTGTTTGCTGCACGGAAATGGTTAACAGTGATTTAGTGGTTGAAAATTTTATATATGCAATCAATATACAATCATCAGTAGCAGAGGCTTATTAAGTAATCGTTTAGTATAAATATCTCAATAAATATATATATATATATAGATACAGAAACATGTACATTGAATAAAATGTGCATATTAAAATTGCATTCCGTTCAATATTGTACAGAATATTGCAAAAATATTATAATGTGTGAAAAGGGATACTAAAATGCAACAATTATATATTGAAATTGCAATGAAAATAAAATGAAAAAAAAAAGAAAATCATGAAAATTTTTTTTATTGTTTTCACAATAAATAAAAATTGGTATATAAGTGAGAGGTAGGCTGCAAATTAAATGATAGCCAATATATAATTTGATACCATCGTTTCAATAAAACTTTAAATTGATATTGATGATCAGTTGAAATTGATAATATTACTTAATAAAAATAATAAAAGAAAATATTAAATATTAAAAACGCAAAATGTGTTCAAAAATAAGAACACAAATTAAGAAAAACGATGAAAACAATGATTTAAGTTTAAAGTACGTGTAAATCCTTGCGGACTGAATTAAAATTCTTGTTAATTTTAATTCAATTTTCAATAGAAAATAAATCAAATCAAGAGTGTATAGATTTATAGAAGAAAACAATGGAATTTAAAACTCTTCTATAAAGAATGCAGGGTAATATTAAATATTATATAAATGTTATATCTGATCTGCCATCTTAAATTAAAAAAATATAACAGTTTTAGTGTTTTTCACGTAATCTTTAATGCAATTTTAATATTTATACTAAATTCTGAAATGCCCATGTTTTACTATAAAATCACCCCTATACCCCCTAATTATATATTTATTTCCACTAAACCTAATAATTTAAGAAACTATTGTACTATAGACGCCATATAAGGTTAACTAACTCTAAACTACATTCATATTATATACACGTATATTAAATAGAACATATTCTATATTTTAAATAACCTAAAATATTCAACTCAATATCCCATTTCCCGATTAATTTCCGAAAACACTAAAAAAAGTTCTCTCTCTTTCTCCTAATTCTCGATAACAATGATGATGAATTTTATCAATTAAATGTCATCGAGTCGGCAATTTGCATTTTTGACATTTTAACTTTGTTTTTTTTTTATTCTTTATAAAAATTTTTTTATTTTTCTGCATTTGTTACCAAAATGTACTTTTGCTTTTTATTTATTTTTTTTGCATATAAAAAAATATGAAAAAATTTATTATTACGATTTATTATAATAAAAAATAAAAAAAAAAATAAAATAATATAAAAAAAAAAAAATGTGAAAAATTACACAGTTGAAAATAATTTTTTTTTCGTCCTTTTTTCGTAGAAATGCATAGAGAAATTGAATAAGCTAAATATTGGCGGGAAAGAATGTAATGGTGACTAATATACGTTGATGAGAATTGCATAATATTTTTTGTTGTTGCCCTTTTGTATTACCATATTGCCCATTTCAATATGCAATTTCAGTATGGGAAAGAGCTTGAAAGTATGTAGTATTCTAACAAGATAATTTGACTTGGTGGTGAAAAAATAGGAGCGGCGCAGATAATATAATAGTTAGCTTTAAAATAGTTAGGTGCACCCGTAAAAACTTCAAGTATCTTTGGAATCTCAACACATAGACTTCCAAAAAAATGCATCTATTAGCTTTACTCTGTTCGCCCCTGTTTTTGCAACGTTTTCGAAAAGTAATCCTTTAATTTTTAAATTTCTACAAACACCAGTTGTTGAAAATTAATTGTGGTGAATTTTTGAGTTCTGAAAACGCAATACAGGCCGAAT